CTCAACACCCAAACACTTTATAAACACCCAAAATCCATCATTATACACACTCAAAAGCCATTTATAAACACACCCCAAAAAATATACAATTGTTGATTTTGGGGTTAATTTTGGGTGTGTTTCTATGTTTAAATAGTACTTGGGTTTTTTTATAAATACATGTCTAGGATTGGGTTTATTTATAAATTTGTATATTTAAATTAGCCTTAGGTTGAAAGTATTAATTACTTGTCTTCGTTTTCTTTAAAACTAAAAGAAGTAATGTTTTTATATCCCTATGAAAGCATATAAAATTAGATTTCACTTGTATACCTATTGAGTGGTTTAAAAAAAATATTTATCCAGAAAGATCACAACATAATATAATTATTTCTCACAATGAACTGCTTAGTCCAGTAGAGTTTGTAAATACAAATATTCCAACCAAGCAAGATATTAAAAAAAATACAAAGGAGCAACGTTAGCTGAGGAGCAATTGTTTAATGAGACATGGATTTCAAATAAGCAAGATAGGAGCACAAGTTTTTGATGAACTCTACAATCAGATTGAAGCATAGATAGTGATACTGCATATATGCAATAGTACTAGTTTGACATAAGAGAAGCTACATAAAATAGAAAACATGATAGAAGTATAACGAAGCCATAGCAGCAAATACATGTAGCATGAAGTCCACTTGAACAGATTATCCCAACAAAATCCGTATATATAAAAAGCAAGAAGAAGTTATCCCAGTTTTTGGCTCCATATACGGCAAGCAAGAAGCAAAACTCCCTTGGCACTATCTATAAAGAAAAATGGACTCCTTAGGCAATCTAAATAGGGGCATTATTCTCAAAATACTAAAATTTTGTTCTTCTCTATGAATACTTCCCTCATTTGTTCTGAATCAAAAGTTCTCCAATGTGTTGGGTTTAACCTTCTTCTCATCTTGTTACCTATGTTTTAGTACAAGTAAATCACCATAAGGCACTTTAGCTTGTTCTTTTTTACCTCTTTAGGCCATCTCCAATGGAGAGGGCCAAATGTCAAATTTTGGCAATATAGCATGGATGGAGACCCCCAACGCATGTACATGGCTGAGCAAAATATCAATCTAGCCAATATCTTGGGTGGAATAGCAGTCCACATTTTGCATGGACCGAAATTTAGTGGAGCTCACTCACACAACCCACTTTCCCCCATGTGTAAAGTCAGTGTTGTGGACACATTGTGTCAGCCACTCACACAACCCACTTTCCCCATGTGTAAAGTCAGTGTTGTGGACACATTGTGTCGGCCACACCTAGAGGCTCGTGGACGGCAATATATTGTCATTGAAATCAAATGACGACAATTCAAACTTGCTTTTATTTTCCTTTTTCAAATTGTTCTCAACGGCTATATGATCAAAGGTCATGATTAATTCTTAATCATTTCAACGGAAATAAAGTAGATCCAATGTTCAAATATCAAATCCAACGGTAAAAAAATTAATTAATATTATAAATAAGATGTAACCCCAAAACTCATCTCAACTTCTATAAATACCCATCCATTTATTAAATAAACCACCCAAATCATGTTTTTCATTTCTCACTTTGATATGGTGTAGGGTAAAGGAAGATTTCATTTAGAAAATAATGGCAAAAAGGCAACCATTTAGAAAATAATGGCAATAAGATAGAAAGGGATGTGAACCATGTCAGATAATAATTCAAGGAAGAGATGAGGACATAGATGAAATGCAGAGAATTCAAGAAAGGAAGAGTTAAGGAGATAGAGGAGATGGGCCCAAAGTCAGAAATAATTGAAAGAAGACAAGCACCAAGTCATAAAATAATTCAAGCCATGTAGGATAATGCAAATTTTAATTAAAATAAAATTAAGTTTGTAGAATTTTAATTTTTTTTAAGGTTAAAATGTTTAGAAAATTAAGTCACGAAGTTATAAAAAAAAATTAGCTCAAGAAAAATTAACCACAAAAAAAAAGGTTAAATTATTTAAAAATAATTGAATAAGGCTACGGACTTAAAATTTGAGTATGGAGGGTTGAGGAAAAAAACTGTTTGAGTCCGTGCAATACATAAATAGTTGTATTTGAAGGGTGGAAATTTTGGGTTTAGCCCCTTTGGCATTGGATATGGCCTTACAAGAATCCAATTTTATGTTCTTTTCTCTTCATTTGTTGTTTTGTTTTGTTTTTCAATACTTAGACCCCACTAAATAATAGTGAAAATGAACTACCTTTATACGAGAGATTATAGAATAGTACAGTACTACCATGTCAGATGGTACTACTCCCATTCAAAGTTTGCTATGTGTCATTTTTAGAAAAAAGTTATAGCTTATTTACAGTTGAATTTGAAGTTACTGTTTTAGCCTTCAAAACACTAAAAAACTCGGCAAACTATTTTAGCCTTCGAAACACTTAAAATTCGGCAAAATCCATCCACCGCCATTCTGCCTCTCCTCCCACCAACCCCTCCCTCTCTCTCTCTCTCTCTCTCTCTCTCTCTCTCTCTCTCTCTTCCTCTTTGTTTCTCTTCTTCCTTCCATACAAGGAATATAAGTTGATACCCATAAGTTGACTGGGGTTCAATTGGACATGAATCCATTAATGTAATTGAAGACAAGAGAGGAGAGAGAAACTGAGAGGAAGGAAGGCAAATAGAGGGATGTGGTGACCACCAGTGGAGGTAATGCTAGGTTCGAGGTGGGTTGTGGTTGGTTGCTGTACAATCATCTATTTCTTCGATTTTTTTAATTCTTTTTAGGGAGATGAGATATGAGGAAATTGAACAATTGAGATTATGATTACGATGCTGTTGTTAAGGAAGAAAAATGAAAAAAATTGAATGTGAAAACAAACACCATATGTAAAATAACATTGTCGTTTGTACATGAGAGAGATATATAGATGGAGGAATAGAAATAGAGGAGGAGGTGGCGGCGGTGGCGGCCAAAGGTAATTGCATCTGGGTTGGGGTGGGAGAGTTCATTCTTTTTTTCGTTTTTTAAATTTCATTTTAAGGGTAAAATCGGATGTCAAAGTCTAGTTGTCCAAAAAGTTTTTATTTTCTTTAAAAAATGACACGTGTTAAATTTTAAGAGGGAGTATCACTAGCAGACGTGGTGGTACAGTATTATTCTATAATCTCTCCCTTTATACACCTGCATAATTATGGCGGAGGTCCATACATTGAATATTAGGTAGGGAAAAAATAGAGCGCTGCTATTTCCACCCACCTGTCCTATTTTTCCACCCACATTATTTTTAAAATTTTAAAGATAAATTTATCTCTTTGTAAAATGACTTCTAAAGACCTAAGTTAAATATTTTTTTTTAAGCATTTCAAATAAAAATAAAACAACATTTTTTAAAACAAAAACTCTCTCTTCTCTCTCTCCCTTCCTGACCAGGTCCTTTGAACTGCTGACGAAGTCTCTCAGCAGCAGCTGCAACAGACGCGAGTGCTGCCTCGTCGGCGGAGCAATTTTGAACTCGGCGATGAAGTTGAGATCCACGAAATACCTGATCTGCCATGTGGACGAGATCGATTGGGCGCTGACGACATCGATAAACTCATAGCTCCCGACGGTGATGTTGCTGGAGGAGCTCTCTTTCTTTCATTATGTTGGATTTGGTGACAACGTTTAAATGAATTTGTGTTCCTCGTTTCCTTTTTTTTTTTTTTTTTTTTTTTTTTTTTTTGTGTTGTGTCTCTTGTGTGGTTTGTTGGTTGTGGTTGGCAAATTTTTTTTTAAAACATCAAGTGTTGTGGATGCCTTCCACCCTTTTAATACAATCGTTTCTTTTTATAAAAAAAAACTCACTTGGTGTAATTAAATTAAAGCCTCTCTCTCTCTCTGTGCTTCTTTACTATTTTGTCTTTCTAGATTTTTGTTTATTTTTTTTTATTTTCTGAATTTGAGGTGAATTAGTATTTTATTGATATTAGACTAGAGGTGAATTCGCAAGAGTTTTGTGTAGAGGTGAATTCGCATTTTTGGGTATTAATCGTGCTTCGTCTTGTAATTCCTAGCCCTCAACCCCAATTTTGCGCAGAGATTGAAGAAGCTCTGCACAAATAACTAAGTTTTTTTTAAGGATTTTGCTCAAGCCATGGTGGAGGAGGGTGAAGAGGTGGGGGAGGGGATGATGGCTAGTGTAGTGTTGTTGAGGGGGTGGGGCTGCGTTAGGATGGGGGGAGAGAAGATTTTTTGTTTTGTTTTTTATTTTTAAAAATAATTTAAGGGTATTTTAGGAATAATGATGGGTGGAAAGATAAGATTTTATTTTTTTCAAATTTATATGGTGGGTGAGGAAATAGGACAAGGGGGTGGAAATAGCAGCACTCAAAAAATATATACCATAAGCAAGCTTCCTATATTTCAATAGGATAGATATAGGGTTTTCCTCCTTTTTGGGGTTTTTTATTTATGGCAAAATATTAACGAGGTCAGGCTTGTACCGGCTATTTTTTGTGCCTTTATTGTTAAGGTTATTGAAATTTTCTCTCTTAAAAATAAAAAAAAAAAAAAAAAAAAAAAAAAAAAAAAAAAAAAAGATAGATAGAGACAAATTTATAAATAAACCCAATCCTAGACATGAATTTATAAAAAAAACCCAAACACTGTTTAAAACATAGAAACACACCCAAAATCAACAATTGTATATTTTTTGGGTGTGTTTATAAATAGGTTTTGAGTGTGTTTAATAGATGGGTTTTGGGTGTGTTTCTAAAGTGTTTTTCATGTTAGGTTTTTTTATAATTTCAGCCCCAATTTTGGGTGTATTAGTGAAACTCCTTTTATTTTTCTTAATATCTCACCTTGAAATTGCAGAAACGTCCAAGGGTGATATTTTTCTTAATATCTTTCCTTGTGGTTGAGCACCCAACAGAAGAGAGATCATTTTCATTTGCAGCTGAAATTACAGAAGCTCTTTTTTTGGGGGGTGAGGCTAGAAAGAAACCAACCAACCAACCAACCACAGACATGGCTGAATCTTCTTCCACTATTGCCAAGCCCAAGATAGAGTTAGGATCCGAAACTGTCCAAGAGCTGCTTCTGCTCGCCAAAGGGGAACAACAAGTGCCTGAGAAATATATCCATAAGTTGGAGCCCCAGATGCTTCTTCTGTCCAGTTGAAGGATATTCCAGTAATTGATCTACGCCTCCTCCTCACAACTCCTTCCTCAATCACTCAACAACAACTTGACAATTTTCGATCAGCTCTTACCACATGGGGTTGCTTTCAGGTCTGAATTCAAATACCCAATTTAATTGTGTTTACTTGAGAAAACTTGGTACAAGTTGTAATGAATTAGACAACTTGTGAATCATCTGCTAGCGAGTCCTTATTTAGTTAGAGTTTTGGTTCCTTATTTATTTAGGATTTTGGTTACTTGCCATTTATTTGGGGGGGTGTATTCAATTTAGATTTTAAAAGAGTTTAAAGATGATTTAGACTAATTTTAGGCCATGACAAATCTTTGCTTCCCCACCCCCCCCCCCCCCCCCCCCCCCCAAAAAAAAAGAGATTGATTGATATATTATTTTTATTCTCAATATATGATTTCACCACTTCTACTACCACCATCTTATCATGGCTATCACCACCGCTACCACAGTCATCATCGTCACCACCACCACCACCGTTGCCACCACCCATTGTCGCCCTCACTACCACCCCCACCGTCACCACCACCACCACCCTTACCCCACCTCCACTATTACCCTCACTATCAGCCCTACTATCACCCCCACCATCACCACCACCATAGCCATTGCCAGCATCATCACTGTCACCTCCATTGTCGCCATCGCCACCACCACAACCACTACCACCCCCACCTCCTCCACCACTACCTCCCCCACCATCACCCACAAACCACCATCGCCATCACCACCACCGTCATCACCCCTAAGCCCTTTGTTTTTTGAGTGCTATAAACTCCATTATAATCAATAATATAACTCTAACAAACTCAATTAAAATTTATGCATGAATTCAATCAAAATCTATGTGGAGTTTGTAGGATTCAGTCAAACTCAATTAAATTCAGTTAAACTCCATCAACTTTATAACTCTTTTAAAATCATTTAAAATCTAAATTGAATACACCCTCCTTAGTCCTATTATAAATGAAATTTATTTCCTATTTTAGTTAGGGTTGTACTTCTTTATAAACACCTCTATATTGGAGATGAACAAATATGAAAATATATGAGCATAACTGAATATATGCCCTACTTTGTTTGACATGATATCATAGCTTAGGTTCTCTTGTGACCTGTGCTTGTGTTCTCCTTGCAAATTAAGTGCTCTCCTCCCCTCCTCTTCAAGGGCAGGAGGCGGAGTGAAAATGATATATTTATCTTCCCATGAAGATATTGCCTATTTCATGACTCCAACGACCCCTTCTCTTCAAGGGGAGAGGGGAAGTGAAGAGAACTTGTGTCTGCGTGAATTAGCTAAAGTTGATATGGAAGAATTGTTGTCATTGTCACTGTTGCTACTATTGATATTGTCTTTGCTTGCTTCGCTTTCCATTGCTGTGGTCATTAATGTTGATGTGGCCGTGCCCCTTGCCTTTGCCTTTGTCGTGCCTTACCCTATTTTTAGGGTTTGGTTTTGCCTTACCTTGTGTCGTGATCACAGGGTTCCTGTGTTCTGCCATGTTCACAGGGTTTCTGTGTACTTTGCTGTGTTCACAAGGTTTCTGTGTTCTTTGTCTTACCTTTGCTGAGTTCACAGAGTTTTTGTGTTCTTTGCCTTACTTTTGTTGTGTTCATAGAGTTTTTTTTGTTCTTTGCATTGCCTTTGCCATGTCTACAGGGTTTCTGTATTCTGCCGTGTTCTTAGGCCCCGTTTGGTTCATGGGAAATGAGACTTGGGGATGGAAAATTAATTGTTTTCCCATGTTCGATAAGTTCAGGCATGGGAAATCGTTGCCTGGCCCATGGGAAAGTAGGGTGGAAAGTGAAGCAATCCTCCCAACTTGGGTTTTGTTTTCCCTCATCATGGGAAAGTTTGGAAAAATGAGCCAATATTAAATAAATATTTTTCATGACCATTTTGTCCTCATTAACAATTTAGAATTACAATATATCATTAAATGCATTCTTTTTTATTTGATTTAATATGGGTATAATTGAAAATTTATACAAACTTTGTTTTCCATTCCTACTCAAAACAAACACGGGAAAGAAAATAAAGTGATATCTCTTGGTTACTTTCCCAACATTACCAAACGTGGGAAATGAATCTTCCATTTCCCATCCCTTGAGAAATGATATGGGAAATGATTTTTCCTCAAATTCATTCTGTGAACCAAACGGGGTCTTAGGGTTTCTGTATTATGCCATGTTCTTGTTCGATTGGTCAATGTAGAGTATGGTGTTCTATGACTCGCTTGTCAAGTTGGGTATGCGAAATATCTTTGGCCCAACTTGAGGGGGAGTGTTGGCGAGTCCTTATTTGGTTAGGATTTTAATTCCTTATTTATTTAGGATTTTGGTTACTTACCGTTTATTTTATCCTATTCTAAATGAAATTTATTTCCTATTGTAATTTATATTTATTTCTTATTTTATTCAGGGTTGTACTTCCTTATAAATATTTTCATATTGGAGATGAACAAATGTGAAAATATATGAGCATAACTGAATATATGCCCTACTTTGTTTGACATCATCCACCTAGGGAGATTCTCCCATAAGTATTTAAGGATTGGTCACATGTTTCTAATCTTAGTCGTTAGATTACATTCATTAGATGTGTTGGTAGATAATAAGTAATATACATACATGTACAATCCAACGACTGAGATTATAAATATGTAACCAATCCTTAACATAAAATACTTATTGAATAATTTTCCCATCCATCCATATATGTAAAACATGTTTGATGCTGCTGCTTTAAATATGTGTTCCAGGTAATAAATCATGGCATGACACCTGAATTCCTAGACAAGGTCCGCGAAATGACAAAAGAATTTTTTGCACTTCCAACGGAAGAGAAGCAGAAATACTTGAGACAAGTCAACGATATTCAAGGATATGGGAACGACACGGTTTTTTCTGAACAACAAACACTTGATTGGTCTGACCGGCTATACCTTTCTGTATATCCAGAAGAGCACCGAAAGCTCAAATTTTGGCCTCAAAATCCCAAATATTTTAGGTAACTTGTGTTTGCCATACATCTTCTTCCTTCACACTGAAACAATAACCATATCATGACCTCTCACAGTTCAACATATATTATTACTGCAGTGAAATTTTAGACCAATATACGATGAAGTTACAAGTGGTAACAAAAACTGTCCTGGAGGCCATGGCAAGGTCATTGAATTTGGATGTTAATTGCTTTCGGGACCTGTATGGAGAACAAGGGAAAATGGATGTGAGGTTTAACTTTTATCCTCCTTGTTCAAGGCCTGATGTTGTCCTAGGTGTCAAACCACATGCAGATGCAACATTAATCACCCACGTCTTGCAAGACAAACAAGTGGAAGGTCTTCAGTTTCTTAAAGACGATCAGTGGTTTAGAGCTCCCATTATTCCTGAGGCGCTTCTCATTAATGTGGGTGATCAGACAGAGGTAAATCTAATGTTCTCTCTCAACCTGTTCAATTATTGGTTTTAATTAACTTTTAAAGCAATGCCTAATTGAAATTTGGTGAGTAATTGAAAGCTTAAAAATGTACCATTTCGGCCGACGAGGTCTAAAAAAGTGGAAAAGGGCCTTGACTTGGAGACCAGTGATCTTAGGTTTGAACCCCGTAACAGCTTTGTAGTGTGTGTGAGAATACTCCCCTTCCCAATATCGCTTGCATAAAAATGTACCCTTTTGTATCTCATTGTTGTTATGTCTAAAACAACTCATCAAATATGCCTTTTAATTTTTTGAATGAGACCCTTTGAGCGAATTTTAACAATCTAATACAGTTGGTTTGGCTTACAGAAGCTTGATTGTTGGTTTCCTTGTGATACACAGATATTGAGCAATGGAATATTGAAGAGCCCTGTACACAGGGTAGTGATAAATCCAGACACGGAGAGGATCTCTTTGGCTGCCTTCTGCATGCCTGAATCAGATAGAGAGATTGAACCCTTTGAAAGCCTGGTCAATGAGTCAACGCCAAGATTGTACAACAAGGTGAAAAATTACGATAGCATATATTTCGAATACTACCAGCAAGGAAGGAGACCAATTGAAGCATCAAAAATTTAAACTTACTCTGTAATATATTAATTTGAGGGTAAACCACAATTTGGTCATTGTGTGTGTTAGGCTCAAAAACACATTAAATACTTACTGAATTTCTTAGTGAAACTAAGTTGAACTTTCCTCTCAGAATCATGAAAGCAGTTCCAGAAAACTGAACCGAAAGTACTCGATAATTAGTAGAGTTTTGATCAACTTGAAGGCTGTTAATATGACTATTAAGTTTGGATGTAGAGACTGATAATCTGCTTCCAAGTGCTTGACACATCTGTGGTTCTGTTTCTTCTTATGAGCAAGTGGAGAATGATAGTGATCAAATCTGGCTCCAATGAATGGTCTTGAAATCAAGAAAATAACTTATTTTAACAGCCCCTAATCTATAACATTATGTTTTTTTAAGTCAGATGATTCATACAAGTAGAGACTGATAAGCTGCTTTGTAGTGATGGGATGTTGTTTTAAGCAATGGTGGAACCATGAATTTTTCTTGGGAACTGTTGACAAGCCAAATATTCCAAAAATATATTGCAACAAAGGAGCTTGAAACCTAGAACGTAAGAATCATTCACACTTTCCACTAGAGCCAACAACCTTCTTATGTAAACTTGCCATAAATATGATATATAATTAGTAATAGTTACTCTGGATAATAAATATTATAAACAAAATGTGAGAGCATGCATGTGCATCTGAAGATGTGCCCAAACCAACGCCTCTTTTTCTTTCTTTTGTAATTTTTATTCTCCCCATATCTCATCTCTCCCAACACCTTCATTTTTTTTTTCCATCTTCTTCTTCCTTCCGTCACTTTCCATCTCTCCCTCTCTCTTTTTATTTATTTTTTCCATCCTCTCTCTCTCTCTCTCTCTCTCTCTCTCTCTCTCTCTTTCCTACTTCTTCCTCTGTCACTTCGCAATTTTTTCCTCTTTTCCCTCTTTTGCGTCGTCTCCTATATCACTCTTTTTCTAATTTTTTTCTTCCATCCCTCTCTCTTCTCTTCCTTCTTCTCCTTCTTCCCACTCTCCCTTGAAGACCAGTTGTTGTCTGGCCTTGTCCTTTTCGTGGGCTACTATTTAGGGTAGGGTTTTTTTTTTTTTTGTTTTTTTTTTTTTTTTTTTTTAATTTTAATTTAAATTTAATACATTTAAGTTGGAAAATCAGCCTTGGGCCAGAGCCCAGCTGAGCCTCTTTGTAGTTCCGCCCTTGGTTTTAAGGGTTTTATGGTTGGGTTTTAGGTTTGTTTGTTTCGTATAAGTTGTTTGACTCTTCTGTTTAGTTAATAGCATGGGTGGTACTCTTTCCTACCCCGGGGTTTTGTTTTATTTAGGAAAGTTTTAACGAGGCCGCCGTTAACATGCTAGTTCTTAACATGTAATGTTCCTTTTGGTTTAATGAAATACCATCTTTTCTCAAAAAAGAACAAAAGTCAGATGATTCGAAATCTCTTTCAACATTAAATTTTTTTAATAAATATCACTACATGAAAATATGAGAGTGATGCAAATATGCATCTCTTGCACCTTAAATCAGATGATTCGATTTCTCAATTGTTCTGACTTGCTCCTACCTACTTGAAAGGTTTGGAATTTCTTGATATATTATTCTCATTGAGAAGAGATATATTATTCTCAAATATCGAAACCTGTTGATCTACCTGAATAAGAATTGGAAGATGCTCGGAGGAGTAAGAGAGTTTTTAAGTGAGCTTTAAATTCAACTGGCATATACAAAATAGAATATTGCTTAAGGATTTAATCTAAACAATGGACAAAACAAGCTTCTACTCAAATTAATAATAGTAAATTGAGGTTAAACCCATTAAATTCATTTTTAAAAGAAAAAGAAAATCAAAACCATGAAAAGGACTTCAATTCCTACACACTAAATAAAAAATTCGAAACCATGAAAAGGACTTCAAAGCAGAGAAGATCCAGTTTCATCCAAATAAAAAAAAAATTCATAGAAGAACATATCTAATTAGAGAACTCAGATAAGGAAATCCAAAAACAAAGAATACCCAAATGGTTTTTAATGATTAGAATACGATCTGCTTGAGGAGCAAGGATGACCATGGCCTTCAATTGATAGTCAGATCTTCTACCCGAACGAAATCATGAGGCCGAGAGAGAGGGAGAGAAACAGCACGATGGAGTCTAATGTAAAGCGAGCGACAGAATTGATGAGGGTATTTTGGCGTTTTAGAAAATTAAATAGGGATATTTTCGGTGTTTTGAAATTTTCATTAAAGGGAGCGAAGTCCTTCCCGTGTATTTACTTGGCAGCACTTCTGTGAAGAAGCATTTCTCAAGTGCTTTTGAATCCCACCTGAAGCGCTTTTACAATTTCTGTCAAACATCATTTTTAAAAGATAGAATTGCTTTTACCCATTTGGAATCGCATTTTGCAGTTTCAAAGGCACTCCCAAACGAGCCCTAAATCACCTACAACCCTTCCCTTTATTTTTAAAATTTAAAAACCCAATTTTTTCAAATAATACCCGATGACTAGGATCCAACTAAGCTAGTTACCTAATATAACTGAAAATATGATTCATTGTATTTTTCAAATTCTAAAACTACAACTGTTTATAAGTTAATGTGTTATGGGGATGTGTAACTAATGACATACATTGAATTTGGAAGGATCTCCAAATGGTTGTAATAGATGTATGCATTAATTTAGAAACTTATTTGAAATTAAATATTAAATATTAAATTCAACATTAACGTATTAGTAATCTATAGGTGATTAACGTTTTTGTTTTCTTTTTATGAATTATACGACTAGTAATCTATGTTATTATACTTTTATGAATAATAGTGTACATTCTAATTATGTTGAAAAATAATTTGATAATTTATTTATTGTTTGTTTTTTGAAAAATATTTTTTTTTAAATGAGCTTATTTTTTTCTCTAAATAATATACCTATAAAGCACCTATTACTTGTTTTATGAAAAATAATTTGATCATCTTTTTATTGTTTGTTTTATGGAAACAAATTTTTTTAAAATGAACCTATTTTTTCTCTCCAAATAATGAACCTATTTTTTTCTTCAATAATGTACCTAGTAAAACAATTTACCTAGTATAATGAACCTATTTTTTCGCTAAATTTTGTATCTATTTTTTTTCTCTAAATGATGTACCTATTACTTGTTTTATGAAAAATAATTTGATATTTTTTTTTTAATGAATTTTTTCAAAATGAACCTATTTTTTTTCTCTAAATAATGTACCTATTTTTTTCTCTAATAATGTATACCTAATAAAACAATTTACCTAATATAATGAATTTATTTTTTCTTCTAAATAATGTACCTATTTTTAATTTATAAAAAATGTGCATAAATTTCAATTATACAACGTACCTATTTTTAATTTATGAAAAATGTATGGAAATTTCAATTACAAAGTAACTAACCTAGTTTTTCTATAAGTAAAAAATTCGGTAAATAATATACCTATATTTTGTATGTATATGTTTATATTTATATTTTTCATATGTACATTATTGGATATGTAATTCACATATTTATTTTTTGGCTTGCAATTTTAGGGGCCAATATGTTAGAGGGAATGGCAACCAAAAGAAATGGAGTGATTGATATGCTATTAATAGGGAGTTTTAATTACAATTATGGTAGTTAATGAAATGCTTGGAATAAATTATAAATAAAATATGAAGTCTGATGGCAACGATGTAGAAACATAGGAATACTATGATCTCTTATATCCTACTGGTCATTTAAGTTTGAAATTGGGTTTTACACATAGATTTATAGAAAGATTGGTATATATCTAGGAAATAGAAATTGTAGGGACCTATATTGGACAAGCCCAATTAATAAACCAATTCAATCATCAGAAGTATTATAAGGGCATACAAGAACCAAATAGCACAATTTCATATCACAAGACCGTTAATCCAAAAGGGTAAGAGTCAAACAAGAGTTCATGTACAACATTGACAGCTTTGGTATGTCTATGAAGTATATATTGTTGCAGAACAATTAGAATAAAATCAAATAACAGAATATGACATGAAAATAAATTCTATAAATACTAGCCTGAGCATGTGCCAATTGGTTTTATTTTTTATTTTATTTTTAGAATTAAGAAAAGATAACATGGATAGTTATGTTCCAAAAAGGTAGGACCTATTATTTGATTTTGTTTTCAATTTTAATTTTTTTAATATGAAAAAAATGTGAATTTACCATATTATCCTCATTTAATTAATAATTTCAATTCTTAATGTTTGAATTAACCAAGTTCATTTTCTGGT